ACAGAAAATGGTAGGAGAGAACCATGCATAGCTAGGGTTCTTAAGTGGGGACTGAGCAGAAGGATGCCTGGTTTTTTGGAAGACAAAAGCAAAGGAATGTTAGCTACTTGCTATTCAACCTCTCTGAGGAGCAGAATTCCACCTCAGCCTTTGAATCGTGAGTTCTTTAGAGGGATGGAGATCTAGATAAAAATTCCCTTAGTAGTTTTGAAAGAGTAGGTGCCTGAGGGAACAGAATTCCCTCAGGCTGTGGCCCTAGTGGCCGAACAGCGGCTGGTAGCTGTGGAGTTGCAGTCTATGATTAGGACAGCAGCTGCTAAAGGGGCAGCCACTGTAAATAAATTTTAAAAAAAGCCAATGACCCCCCCCATTTAGAAAGACCCTACCCCTGAGCTATAAAAGCCTTGCCTTCCTCATATCCAATGCTGACCTCTCAAAGGGGGAGGCAGCCTGTGTATATAAAAAAATAAAATAAAAAAACTTGCTTCAATTAATTGCTTGCTTTAATTAATTTGGCCATGATGATTTGGGATGGTGGTCTTTCTCCTACCATCTTTGGGATTAACACAACCTGAAGAATGTCCTCTGAGCATTTTCAAGTCTTTTAACTTAGCATTACAAGATTTTGTTCTACTCACTCAGGAGTTCAGATTTATTTCTAAGTATGGGATGTTAGTGAGTGACCATTTTTGCCAGAATTGCCACATCCCAGATTTGGGTCAGTATGGCGGCATCTGGCTTAGTGACAGAATAGCCCTTGCGTTGGAGGCATGCAGGTATAGATTTGAGTCGACACCCATGTTCTTGTTAGAACCTGATTAGAAACAAACAGAAGCGTTCATTAAGAAAGGGGAAGTAACCCTCACAACGGGAGTGAGCAAGGCCTGGGCTCTGCAAGTGCTGGGCCATTGGCCCTTTACAGGGCATCTGCACAGTGCTCATCTGTCCCACATTGATATTTTATGAGCTTTTCTTGAACACGCTCCAGTTGTTTTATGAAGCCCAGCTGGGAATGAACCTCTAGTCTTATCTGTCAACTGGCTTCTTTTACTTATTAACTTTGGCATTGCCCTTTTCAGTCTACTTCCGGCCACAGGTACCCTGGTCCCGCGGGATGCCAGCTCCACCTCTTGTGGAGGACTTGGAAGACCCTCTTCCCTCAAGAGAGGGGCTGTAATAGTTCAGCCAGGGCATAAGGGAAGGCAGGGAGGGTTATACTGGAGCCCCGGGGAGCCAGTTGCTGGACAGCTCCACACCTTTATTGCTGTGCTTGAAATGGGGTGGCAGCATCTCCTTGAAGTCCCCCAGGAAGCCTGAATTCAGGGACAATGAAGCAGAAATGAGCCTGTTTTAGGAGCCACTTATGCCCTTCCTACAGCCCTCATATAGGTCAAGCGGGCCTATGCTTAGGATGTCTTGGGAGTTCTCCTGCCTTCAAATGTATTGTTTTGAAAACAGAGACACTCTTTGAATCCAGTCTTCCGCTCTCTCACTCTTCTGTGCTAACTTATTGATTACGTACAGAATAAGCCCAAGAGGTCAAGGACATTAAGAGTTATCTCTAGAAAACTCAAGGTCAAAAGGGCATACTGAAGATCAATCTGGGGGTTGTAGGTCACCTACACCCACCCACCCTTTAGATGCTTCATCCAGAGGTTCTCCTTACACAAGTGATGATGTGTGGGACCTGAGAACACGCATGTCTTACAAGTCCCAGGTGATGGCGATGCTGGCCTGTGACCATGCTTTAGGATCCTCTTGACTTAAGAGCCACTCTTGACTTTAATAACAACCCCTGACTTAGGAGGTGATTGGGTCATGACAATTCTGCCCACATGGATGGATTAATGTCACTAAGGAAAAAGTGGGTTAGTTATTGCCTGGCAGGTGTGTCGTATGTGAATTCATCCTTCTGTCCTCCCTGCCACCTCTTGCCCCTCTCCCTTCTGTCATGGGAGGGTCAGTCTGAAGACCCTCACTGGATGTTCGTGCCATGTTCTCAGCCTCCAGACTTACAAGCCAATTAAGTTCTTAATAAATTACTCAGTCTTAAGTATTCTATTATAACATCAGAAAGAAAAGCAAAACAAGCCCAAACCAAAAACACAGCCTACAAACCATACACCTGCTGCTCCCTTGTCCGGTCTTTGTAAGGGCTGTAGAGTGATTTTGCTCCGTAATGCCCTTCTCACACCTTCTCCTCAGCGTAGGCTTTCTGCTTTGGGAGTTCTAGTCTTCCCAAAGATCTCCTTAACCACTCTGTTCCCTCCCCAGCAGGCAGCATCTATCCCTCTATCCCTGGCTCCAGTAGCTTTTGGTTATGTTTTATATGATAGTAAGGATTGAATCCCTTAATGTTTTGAGAGACCATTTAGCACTGTATCCCAGATGTTCTGAATCAGGCCTGGCCATTAAAAGTTTTATGGTGTTGACTCAGGATGTTTGGAAAAGCCATATGGAAATCTATTTTACACATACACGTGTGCACACTTTCATAAAAAAGAATTTAATTGGAGTTACCCTACATAAGCTCCTCCCACAAACCAGAGATTGCCAAATAAAAAGCACCTCCCCTTTAGTTGTTGGTGGGGATGGGACCCTCCTGAGAGCTCCCCAAAACAATACAGGTAATTGCTGCTGCTCTTGGTGTGAGCTGGATAGTGAGACCCTATTGTCAAAGACACCATACACTTTGGTCACAAGTCATGGAAAAATCAAACTGGTACTGACCTGGAAGCTTCCTCCCTGGTGGCTAGTCCTCACTGTGCTTTTATGAAGCCCAGCTGGAATGCTATACAGGTTTTGAGGGAGGAAAGTCAAAAACAGTCTTATGTGGCTGTGAACCCTTCGAGCTATAATAATGACTGGTGTGGCAAGATATGCCCATGGATGCCTGATACTGTAAATTTGGCCAAAAATCCATACTTGGGGAGCTCACAGGTGCCAATTTATTATTATTATTATTATTATTATTATTATTATTATTATCATTATTATTCTGTTACGTCAGAGAGTGCTTTCTATACCTCAACTTATACTGCTCCCTTTTCCTGACTTATGATATGCATCTCTAACACAGTAGATAAGTTATAAGATGAGATGGAAGGTAATGACAGAGCCTCCTCCTGGATCCATGAAGACGATTCAGTGAATCAGTCTTCCCTCAGAAGAAAGATGATTCCCTGAGTCAATCTTCCCCCAGAAGAGTATTTGCTACATGGAGATGATAAATTAATCTTAGTTCTAATTATTCTGGGGTCATGATGAGTTTGGAGAAATGTTAAACTCTTTATTTGCACTTGAGGTAGAATGGGTAATTTTTATCAGAATCATCTGGGTGCTTGCTAAAAATGAGGGCTTCTTATGAAAATGGAGATTTCTTTTCCTCATCTAAGACCTCTCAGATCATACTCTGAAGGAGCCAGTGAGCTTCAGGTCCTGCGTGTATTCCTCTTGCTTCTGGATGACTTCCGCAAGACGGACTGAAGAAGAAAAGTGTTGTGGTTGGCCAGGTGGTGTCTGAGTTTGGATCCGCACAATGCGTTCAGCTGGGTTCAGGAAGATCTGAGCAAAGTGCTTTCCTAGGAGTGTGGTAAACCTCCCAGAGTAATGTGGGATAAAGGGGACACACAGAGGCCTCAACCCACCCCTCATAGGCTGGGAATACTCCGATATAGCCCTGCCTGTGCCCACCCCCTGCTGTGAATCCTCTGGAGGATTGGCACCAGCTCAGCACAGTCAGAATCACTCTGAGCACCCTCATACAACACTCCATTTGGCTTTCCTCCCCTGGGTCCCCACCTATCAATCATTGCATTGTTCCTTCTCCTCCATCCTTCAGCACTAGTTATTAGCAACTTGCACATCAGGTCCCGTGGGAGGAGACAGAATGAATTCATAGATGTGGTGTTGTTGAGGAAACAGCGTTGTAGAAAGCACTTTATACACGTATATTCCTCCTGTTTTCTTTATCTGAACACTAATTTGTCTTTTTAGACTATTTGAATGTACTCTGCCATGTCAAGTGCTGGGTATAAGACAAATGGAATGAATGAATGAATGAATGAATGAATGAATGAATGAATGAAACTAGCTGTGTATGGTGAACCAATGAATGGATGAATGGACAGGTACAAATTCTTCACCCGAGAAAAGAAAGAAGTCCTACCAATCAGCAACAACAGGGATCTTCTCTCCAAACCTGGATCTGAACCACCAGAAGGAAAAATGCCCTTCTCATTGCACTCCCTGGCCCATTGCCTGCCGAGCTGTCTGCAGACTTAAAGACTTTGAAAATGTGGGACCCTCCATTGTGCCCTTGCCAAAGTGTCTTATTTCTATGCTTTTCAGGGGTCTATTTTTCTTTAGTTTCCTCTTTGAGAAATTCCAGCTTAAGGAGACAGAGGCAAACATATCTTTATGAGTTCAAAACCAGCCCAGTCTACCTACTGAGTTCCAGGACATTCAGGGCTACATAAACTAAAAAAATAAAAATAAATAACAATTAAAAAAGAAGAGAGAGGGAAGGAAGAGAAGGAGGGAGGGAGGGAGGGAGGAAGGAAGGAAGGAAGGGAAGGGAAAAGAAAAATTTCCACCTATTCTCAGGCTGCTCTTGGAAAAGGACCCTTCTCCACATAACTGTTCACTTAGTATTACTTATTCCTCTATGGCACATGTATATTGCAGACCACCTGTACTCATCAGCCTCCCTCCATAGAACAAATACTCTCTGCTTCGTCAATGGCCATCAGTGAGGTTGATCTCAAAGTGGGAGCTTGAACAGTGATGGTGAATGAGCTGCATCTGCCTTGAGCCCATCACAATGGTCGTTCTCTGTTATCATTCAAACCTGAGAGCCAGAGCCTTGCCGTGGGTGGGCCACCATAAACCGGGATGATGATCCGTCCTGGAGAAGGATGGGGGAAGAGGTGGTCCTGGGAATTCAGAGGGTGAGAATTCACAGAAGTGTAAATGAAAACTGTCAGAGGAGCCTGTGGGTCTTGGCTAAACTGTATAGTCTGAATCTCTTTATTTGTTTGTTGGCTTTTGATCGCCACATTTCTGGACTCTTTTATTTATTTGAATTGAAAATAGATGTTTTTTCCCCCATCTCCTATACCTCACCAGAAAGATGGGAGGCATGGAGGCTATAGCTATTTACCAGGCCTGCGTAGATTATATGTGACGATATGTATAAGGCTTCAGAGAGGATTAGTCCTCCATCCTTACAGATCAGTGGCAGCAAAGCCATGCCTTCTTGTGCCTGCCCTCAAGCTCAGAGGGACTTTGAGCGGTGAACACTTTCCCTCTGCATATAGAAAATAGGCTGTGAGTCAAAAGGCAAAGCACAGCTTTGTGTCCAGATTCTGAAGAAACAGAACTCTCTGGTTCTCCACTGCAGTATAGGCACAATCTGGCCAGTTTCCCGAAGAGTGAACGACAAGGCTGATTGCTACTTCACAGAAGGGAGATGGGAGAGGAGAATGGGATGCATGACTTGTTAAATTAAAAGCTTCGGTGATGATGTCGGTAACTGAGCATCACGGAGGAGCTCCTTCAGAGCCCTTTGGGATTCTGCTCTGGGGAGTTTCTGCGCCATCATTTCACGTGCTTAGATTCTGCATTTCAGTCTCTCCTTGTCTCTCAGCCTCCTCAGTGTGATGCTCTTAGTTCTAACTGGCTCAGTAGCTCTAAGAGGACATGTTGGGGACTGTTTATAGTAATAGTATACCTTAACCAAGGATAACATGAATAGAGCCCATCTTTAGACCCAGACCAGGGTCACTCTTGGTATGACCTCAGGCAGTTTGGGGCCACGCTGATCCTCATTTTCCCTGCCTGTAAAATGAGGATGATGGCTGTGACTTCCTGAAGCCAATACAGGGCCGAAAGAGATCAAACGTGGTGCAAGGACTGGTACCAGAAGGCAGAGATTTTCAAACCATTCTTAAAATAATTGTATTCTGCCAAAGATGGCAGGTGCTCCGAGATGGTAGGTGGTGCTGACGGCTGTGTAAACAGCTTAGGGACGTCTGCCGTCATTTTCTCCAGGTCATTACAGGTCCAGCCGCTGCCCTGCGCTCCTGTGCTCCTGCAGGCAATGGCGGTCTAAACTGAGAAAATAAAACGTGAACATGATGTCTGGCTTTGTACTTAGGTGCTTGGGATGTAGATTCAATTCTCTGGCTGTAAATGTTAGTGTTTCTATCTGTTCTAACAAATAAATGGGTAGAGGCAAAAACTAATCAACCATTTTATTCCTTTTAAGCAACAGAGATGAGTAGCCTCCCTGAATCAGCGTGGCACAGCATTTAATGCCAGGATGTTGTTTGGAACTCATTATGTTGTTTTCTCAGCTAAAACATATCACTCATTTACAAGAAATCAAATAAAAAGCAAACTAGCAATTCTCAGTAAGGAGGGACGCCATTACGCTGCCTGATCATAAAGCGTGGACTCTAATCCCAGCAGGAGGGCGGGGGAGGACTCTTGTCCAGCTAGAAAACAAAAAGGAGAAAAAGCGGGCTGTTCCTGTGCACTGGAATAGAACGGGAACCCTGAAAATGCAGACCTCTGCTCCCTAGGAGGTATGACGTCAGGCCGGCCACCTGTCCCGACAGACGGGTCCCCTCAATCTGAATTATGCAACTGCACTTTTGTTTAGCCTGAACACAGGGGGTCTGTCAGAACTGGCACTTTATACCTCAGATCTCACTTGATTTCTACTAAACCTTCAATGCTCTCCAACTTACCCAAGGTCACAGAGCTAAATAAACACATCCAGAAAGCTGGAATCCAAACTACCATCTATATATAGCTACTGTGAACCGTAAAGGAACCAGATGAGAGCTGTTATAGATATGACTATACGGGCCACCACTGAGGTGGCAATAAAAGTAAAAAAAATAACCGGGCGGTGGTGGCCCACGCCTTTAATCCCAGCACTTGGGAGGCAGAGGCAGGCATATCTTTGTGAGTTCGAGGCCAGCCTTGGCTACAGAGTGAGTTCCAGGAAAGGCGCAAAGCTACTCAAAAAAAAAAAAAAAAAAATCCACACCCTTCATTAACAAGTGCTTGTTGTGTGATGTGAGCTGGACATTGGTCTAGGCGTGGGGACAGGATAAACATGTGATTAGCAGGTAAATGGCATAATTTCAGATAGAGCAATTACAATGAATAAAGGAGAACATAGATTTTCAATGGTGGGGATGAGGACAACACATTTGGACTGAGCTCTGGGAATTACTCCTTGAGGAAGTGACCTCCAAGCAGAGAGAATCATAGTCTGCTACCCGGGGCCATCCACATTCTGGGAGCAGTGTGACAAACAGCTCTAAGCTCCCTACGTGGAGGACCAAGAGGAGGTCAGAGGGGCTGGAGAGAGGGCTTAGCAGTCACCATCTCTGGATTCTGTTCCTCCCACCCACACAGGGTAGCTCACAACTGCCTGGAACTCCAGCCCTGGAGAATCCGATGGTGATCTTCTAGACTCCCTAGGCCCCTGAACTGGAGTGGCATAAACCCACCCACAGACTAACACCCACACATAACCAAGAATAAAAATAATGAAATCTTCCTTTTTAAAAAAGGGTCAGAATAGCTAGGAGGAAAGGAGACGGACGGTACTAGAAGGTGGAAGCAGAAGTGGCTGGCTAGGCTGTGGGGCCTTGCACGAGAGACTAGATTTTCTCTTGGGTGGGGAGGGAAACAATGAAAGAGTTAATTCCCTTATTCATGCGAAAACTTAATTGAACATATAACATGAGTGCTTAACAATCACGGTATTGAAAATTCAGAAACTGCCAGGCAGTGGTGGCGTGTGCCTTTAATCCCAGCACTCAGAAGGCAGAGGCCGGTGGATCTCAGAGTTCAAGGCCAGCCTGGACTACAGAGTGAGTTCCAGGACAGTCAGGGCTATGCATAGAAACCCTGTCTTGAAAATAAAAATCAAAAACTTGAATACCTTTTGGATGGTTTCTTGTGATTTCTTACGATGAAATGTGCACCCTCTCCTTGTCTTTTACAAATGGTGACACAGTGGTCATACTTGCCTTGTTTTATGTCAGTATTGTCATGGAGACCACTTGTATCAGAACTAGACTATTCGCACCATTTATTTTCTTGCTGCCTACATAGCTCTCCGATCCCTGGGTGTACTGCTGCTTGCTTAACCAGTTCCCTAGTCACCTAGACCATTTCCCGGGAGAGATTTAAGGCAACATTCATGTTTGTGTGTGTTTGTGTGTTTTACACATTTTACATGGCATAGTCACTCTCTCACTGCAATTTTCACCCTAAGCCTTAAACTATCCCTTCATCAACACCGAGCCAAGGGACATCAGGCACCTCCAGTTACTTTTCAGTATGCCATCTTACGACAGATGACTGGGCCACCTAATCAAACACTTTTGACATTTGTTTTTTAACTTCGTGAGCTTCCCTATTAAATCTAGAACCTCCACTCGGTGGGTATATTTTGATAAACTCAGCCTGATCCAGTTTTATGTTCCTCCCGCCACTATCCCACACCCTTAAAATCCATTCCCACATATGTTCCCCAGGCTGCTGCCTCAGTGAATTAGCAAACCCATTAAGCTGTTTAATGCTGTGCTACACCTCCTCACGAACTACACTTTCTGTCTCCCCACTGGGCGTCTACTTAACCATGAATCTGCTTACAGGTCTAGAGGTAACTGTTGGTGGGCCCTGAAGGACATCAGTATTGTCTTGCCTGGCATTTCCTTCAGGTAAAGTCACTCACAGTTTGCCAGATAATGAAGGATTAATTCATCAGGAAAAGGTGAAGAGGACAAAATTACAGGACATTGGGATGCAGTCTTGGCTAACGGTGGGGAGATTGCTTTTTTAGATTAGATGAACCCCTTAGAATCTGAAGGTTCAAAGTCCTCAGCCTCTACCCCAAGTTACAGGGCCTCATTCCTTACCAA